TTAGGGTTAGTGTTTAGGTAATTATATAGTAAAATTGCTCAAAGAAAACTTTTTATTAATACACAGAAGGTGGTTTAATATGCAATTTCGTGCGTAATTAGCGATTTTGTCAAAACGAACGTTTGTTTTGAATTTTTCTGATCATGTAATGTTACACCTGATCTTGAATTTCATGGCGATCTATATAGTTCATATGACGCGGGTACATGTGCCTTAGCGTACATATAAATAAACCCATAATATTAATATGTTAAAAATATTTTGCAAAAAATTTAAGTTTCTACAAAGCAACACTAATATAAAGAGGCTCTAACCTAAATAAACTATTATATTAAATAAATTGCCCCACTTAAACATTTTATTTATTAGGACATTCTTTCTTTATATAAAACACTAATATACTAAACACTAAATCACAAAGTGTGTCATCTATTGTGCATCAATAAAATTGAACGATGCACTATTTAACAAACCTTTTCTCTAATAGCGTTTAAATATAAATATATTTATTTTATTGTTAAATGATATGAAAAATACATTTGTCAAGTATTAGTATCATGTATCACAATGCGATTACTAAATGCCATAATAGTAAAGGTAGGTATATGAAAAAATTAAATATAATCTACTGTTTTTACAATCAGATAATTTTAAAGTGTATAAGTAAACATTTGATTTTGTGGGTAAAGTGCACACCAAATAATTATGATCACCACTGCTTCAAGTACCATGAGGAACCAAATAAAAACCAAAAAATTATGTCGAGGAATGCTCGGAGTTATAAAGTATTTCCATTTCCAATTGCAGCAGCTTTTGAGTAAGCAAGTTAAAATTATTCCCGTGAATTCTATTGCGATAAGACACACAAGAGCTATAATAACACGGTATTTTGTATATGATATTTGACACAATGATTTGCCAGGAATGAAATTGCTCGTCCAGGTTATGCATGGCATATTCATATCTAATATATAAATGAGTCCATTTGTCTCAACCGATGGACCCATATCGTTAGTAATATTCCCTTTTTAAGAAAAAGATGAAGATTAATTTTATTTATAATAAATATATATATACATATAACAAATAACAATAATTATTATAGTATGATAATTACCGTAAGCAACTATCATATAATTTTGATATGAAGTTACTGAATGAAAGGCCAATGGTGGTGCCTTGGCACCCGAAGCGTCCGGGACATTTAGTTCAGAATATGAATAAGGTTTTTTTGAAATATCTAACAAAACCATAACTGGTTTTGCAGTGGTTTCATTCCGCACATAACCTACAAATAAAGAAGTAATTAGTATAATTAATACAAAATTTATTTTAAAAAATTTTTTTACTGATAATTTACTTGAAGTCCCGCCAATTATGATAATTGTCTTATTGTCTGGCATCAAGTTGGCCGTGTGGCCTGTTCGAGGTTGAATAAAAGTTGATCCAAATTCCGCTTGCTACAGATATAATATAATAATTATATGTTAGAAAAAAAATGCAATAATTAATTAGTAAAAAAATAAGGAAAAAGGCCAAGTACATACTTCAGTCGACCAGGTTGAAGAAATTGTATCGAATACTGGGATCTGTAATAAGAGTTTATAAATAAATTTTTGTCGACATATAAAGTTAAAAATTGTCTCAAAAATACATATTCGAAAATTTTACAAAAAAATAACTAACATATTTCATATCTATCGGTGTTGCATCTTCTCCAGGAGTAGTCTGACTAATACCTCCGATGTAAAGGATCTTACCGTCTGGAAGTAACACTGCTGCGCTATGACTTCGTGGTGTAGGAACATTACTAGAATTGATCTTATTCCACCTTGACAAAATTGTGTCATAAGTGTATAGGTCGTTAAAGCAAATAAATGTGGATGAGCCCGTATCTAATTGAGCTCTCCCACCAAATATATAAATAATTCCATTCGATATGACAGATGAAGTTGACCTACGTCTAATTGTTGGTGCACCAATTCTCGCGGCAGACTCAGGATTCATCCAAATTCGTGCAGTTGGCCGGTAAATAAAAATTGTTTGATTTGTTGAATCCCAAGTTTTAAAAAATTCATTTATCATTAATGTCTGATTTGAAGTTATTGTTGAATTGCGATCTATCTGATCAAGTAGGGTGAGATTTTGTTGTACACCTCCAACAAGCAGTATTTCATCATTAGAAGGTCCACCAACTAATGCAGTTCCTAATGCACGTATTAAATAATTTAGCATAATTAAAAATATTTTTATAATTACAAAATTAGAAGAGAAAATAAAATAAAGTGCTAACCTTTTTCATTTCCATATCGCAATCGCGCGGCAGTCCCACTAAGGTCTACGTACGGTGGACTAGCCGTAGAGAATGGTGATGTAAGATCCAAGTAAAAAATTTCATTCGACAAATTATAACCTCGTATAGAACTAATGAATGGACTTGCATTTGGAATTGCACGAGAACCGCCCATAAAATAGATTGTATTTTTAAGTAAGACAGCCTCATGACCTCCTCGGCCTTCAGGGTTA